ATATTTGCCTTATCAGAGATAGTCGAACCCAATTGGGACTCAAGCTCCTCGATTTTCTTGACCTGCATCAAGGCCTTCTCTCTTGCAGCCCGAAGCTGGGACTCGGCCGACTCCAACTCTGCTTGGTCGGCCTCCTTTTTTGAGGCTAAGATGTTCATATTCTTTTGAACTCTTCAGCCTCGGTTCGTATCATATTTATTTGTTTTTGGAGGTCCCCGATCTATTCGAACCTCTGCGGACCTGTAAAATCAGATCGTTAGTCGTTATCTCCAATTTGTCTTCACTATCGTGAAGCACTCGGAATACCTGTTCGTCCATTTCAGCATGCTCATCCCGAGCCATCACTAAATCTGCTTGGAGTTTCTCACTAAGAAGCTTGTAGGTGTCACTTTTCTCAGTGAGGTTCAGAACCTCAGCATCGCGCTCCTCCCGGAATCGAACGAAAGCCTCGTGATGCAACACCGAAGCCTACAAGTAAGGAATAAGATGTTAGAATTACCTACAACTCTTTTAAAAGAGATAAAGGAATGGCCCTCGAAGTTACCCGATTCAGAGCATGTTGGGCCTCGTTGAACAGGCAAAGGGATCCTACCGCATTCATCATGGCTTGGTCTTCATCGGTCACCAAGCATCTGAGGTAGCTAGCAATCCCCACGGGAGGAGAGAAGACACGGGCATCCTCGACAGAAAGCACTATGTTACGCCTACGATCGGGGTTAACACTTGGGCCCGGGAATCGGTACACCAGTTTTGGGCTCGATGAAGACCTAGTAGCGCCCGATGATGGTGCTTTCTTTTGCCCCAGTAAGTCACCAAGCTCGGTGACATCTCCCAAAGCGGCAAACTCGACCCCGTCCAAGAAGCTATAGATATCAACCGCTCCCTATGGTCCATCGCATGAGCGACCTTCCAATATATTGGCCTCACAGATCGTGGCGTCCGAAAATTGAGGGGATTCAGAAATATCAATAACTCCAAGATCATCCCTCGGGACATCTTCAGCTACTCGGGAAGCCTTGCTCCAGGTTTCTCCCTCGACCATCTCAGCTTGGGACGGAGTGGCCTCAACTCCTTCTGGTTCAGGAACTTCGGCCGAGGTTCCCTCATCAACCTCCTCCGGTTCGGAGGGCTTTTGTTCGGTGACGCCGGCCCGCACGCGGGTCACCATTTTAGAACTATTATCCTCCTCTTCTTCTTCAGACTCATCCCTTAATCGGCGGATCGAGTCCGAAAGCGTAGCACCAGTGTCCTCCCTAGGCTTGCGAGACCTCCTTGCAGGTCTTTTATTTTCCGGGCCAGGGGAACTCGGAGCCCCTTTTCTCTTCTTCTCCTTGGCCTGCTTCGAAGCAGGTGGTGGGGGAAGGGCTTCTTCTTCAGTAGATGGGGGCCTCATTGCTACATCCTTCCTGAGGCCTACAAAGAAAAAAAAAAGAGACGAATAAGCTCGAGAAGTAGCCCAAATGAAAATCGTTCTAAGAAAGAAGCTTACCATGATTGCGGGCCTCCCATCGACCCTTCAACAACTCTATCCAAGCACGTTCAGAGTATGGCCTCTGTGACACCAGGACCTCGACCCATTACTTGAGCTTGGGGACTATGTCCGGCATCTGGGCCACAACTGCAACACCAAAAAATATAGATAAGGAAAGAAGATAAGAAGTAAAACAACAAAATTGAAAAGGCAAAGAAATACGCACGGTTCATGTTCTATTTCTCAAGAAATGGCATGTCTTCAGCAGGTATCATGTTCGAAGTCCTTATTCGGACAAATCGGCCTATCCAACCTCGGTCGCGAGCCTCGTCTATGCTCGAGAAGGGGGCCCTGCTGGCCCGGCGAGCAAGCTTGATTAACCTTCCTCGATAGAGTTGGGGAATGTAAAGACGCATAAGGTGATCGAGGGTGAAGACACATCCCTCGATTTTTTTTACAAAGAATCGGAGGAGAATCACTATCCTCCAGAAGGAAGGATGGATCTGGCCAAGGTTCACGTCATACCTCTTGCAAAAGGCGATGATGACTGGGTCTAAGGGGCCCATCGTGAAAGGGTAAGTGTAAACACTTAGGAAACCCTCCACGTGAGTAGAGATCGACTTCTCGGGCGAGGGTACCACCACATGCTTTCCGACCCAGTTACATTCCTCTTTAACCTTGTCAAGGAGGTCGGTGGTAATTGTGCATATATACCTCGAGACCAGTTCACATCGACCCGGTACGGAGGAGGTCTTCTCAATCTTGAAGTTGGCAATAGTAGGACACCCTCCCGGAACGAAATCCTCAAGGGGATATTCAAACGCAACTCCCTCGACAACAGGCTGCGACGAAGAGGCGGTCTCCTTTTGCGGCACGATTTGGAAGTTTTAGCCATTTATGAATAAGAGAAAAGAGAATTAGGATGATATGCAGGTTGATTAGAGTTCAAGAAATTTAGGTGTGAAAAGTGTGGAGCAAAGGGATTTTTTGAAGAAAAAGCAAGATTAGGAAGAGCTTTGAGTGTAAAAGTTTGAATGAAAAAGGGCTAGGGTTCTTATAGGTTGCTGATGACGGTTCAGAACTGGTAGTGTCCGACCAATGACTGACAGGCATTTAATGCCTTGGTAACTGGATCGACGGGACGTTTCGTCACTTACGTCATTGTCCATCGAGACGGGATTGAAAAGTTCATATCATTTCTCGTCATCTTCTCTTCGAGAAATGAGGGGACTATCTGTATAAGGTAAATCTGGCTTGCTCTTCGTATGACTAATCGAGACTGGAATATGATAGGGCAAGATTCAACCTCGTGTTATATCGGATCATGATGAAAATTTAGATTGCCGACCTCGTGACCCAGAGACCGATCGAGATCGAGATCGAGATCGAGATCGGCCAAGATCGAGACCGAGCAGGATCAAAATTGAGCAAGATCGAGGGAAGCTTACCGAGCCAGATAATGGAAAGCCAAAATATCCGTAATCGGCCGAGGGATCACGGCGGAAATCTTGGCACGTATCAATAAGAGGCCGAGTAATTAGCTAATCTTGGGATTTCTTATTGTATTTAGAATTGTATCAAGAGTAGGACTCCCCTACTATATAAAGGGGGTCTGATCATTTGTAAAACACATCATATTTACACAATACAAAGCAATATACTGCCTTTCTCTAGTTTTCATTGTCTTGTTACTCTATTCTTACATCAACTGAAACTTCACTTGGTTCAAGGGTAATCGAACTCGAGGCCAAGGTTATTTAATTCGTTGGGTTTGCATTTATTTCTTTTGCAGTCAATTTTGATATTAATATAAATCTTCTTAATTTGTGCCAAGTTATACCATGTATCCTTAAAAGCACATATAAATTCAATTGTTATCCGATTTTAGGGTAAACAGCCTTCTCCCTTTTATACTTGACTCCTCTATGTAGTCTAGTTAAAAACTGAATAGAGTTTATCATGTTGTAGTGTTGTTTGACTGTTTCTGAATTTCTTTTTTATCTTTGTATTCTGGTGTATGTGCTTATGGCTTCTGTTGCTCCCTTCTGTCTTGTTTATATACCCCTCTTATACTTGCATTTTACTGCATTTAAATTGCTTCAAATTGGTCGTTTTGAGCGGTTCTTTACAACCGTATATCACTAAATATACTTCTTTGGTGTAGCGAGTATTCAAGCTCTTATTCTCTCTATCGTTTTTTTTTTTTTGCTAATTTCTCTCTATCGTTAATGTATGTATCATTGCTAGTTGGTGATATGTGCAATGAGATATAGCCTGGAATAAAAGTTTTTTTTTTCCACAAAAATAGTTCCCTTTTTTTTCTTTATTTCTCTTGAAAATATCTTTAACATTTTAATGCAAAAATATTGTCCTTAATATTCTTTAATGAAGACAAAAGTCAAAAGGTAAATAATACTTTCACCTCCTAATGAGTTTACTTGAGCAAATTCTTGTTGAGTGTTTCCTATTTTTCACTATTTGGTTGCACAAAATAATTTGAAAAATATTTTCTAGAAATCACAAAGTTACTTCTCTATAAAATGTTAGGAAAATATTTTTCAAAAACTACATCTATCCTCACATCTTACCCCCCAACCCCTCCCTCTTCTCTCCCCTACCCCACC